TTGCGTTTGCCCGACGACAAACGACAGCTAACGGTGCGGTTTGGCTTCTATAGCGAGCGAGCGACCATTTAAAATGCATAAAACTCATTTCGTTGATTAATTGCCTTGTGTCGTCTCCCATGTTGTTCATCTTCTTGTTGTTGTTGTTGTTGCTGTTGTTGCGGCTTTGATGCGGCTCAGCATTAGCAGCAGAAGCTGCATCAGCTTCAGTAAACCAACAGCAGCTGCAGTTTCATTTTCTCCTATTTAATATCCTAGATACGTGTCGATAAATTGTATTGATTTAAACAACGTTTATTAGTTCGGGCATATGGGCTATGTCATCTATTTTGTGTCTGTATGCACTTCACTTACTTCTAAATTTCTTAACATATATTAGCTATACTTAAGTTTTAGTTTGTTTGCCATGCTGCTTAAAACTTGACTTGGTCGCCTGCTCCTTCTTTAGTTCCTTTTATCCTGCTTGTTGTAAATTTAACTTAAGTCTTCATAAGACTTGTCTTTGTGTCCTCCATGTTCACGCTCTTGGTCTGAACTTTTTGTAGCCTAATTGGAATAAAAGATATTCCTTTTAATGTAAATTGAACTTGTGCCTTCGTCAGACTTGACTTGTTCTGCTCCGTGTTCACTTTCTTTGTTCCGGGTACCTTGTCTTATCCATGTTCACTTTCTTTGCCTGAGTTCCTTATAGCTTTAATGAAATACAAGATATTTATTTTATTGTAAATTTAACTAGAATCTTCGTAAGACTTGACTTGGTCCTCTCTATGATCATTTGGCCTTAAATTCTCTTACTCCATTTGTTATAAATTTAACTTTTCTTTCTGTCTGTCTTCATTCTCTTTCAGCCTTATGTCCTCCATGTTCACTTTGTCCCAAGTTTATTCCTTTTACATTTCTCGTTGCTTTCCCTACATTTTATTCACACAATTTGACATCTTTACTCACTTTCAGATGCATACAAGATTATTTACTTGTCCTTACCTTACCTCCATGGTCACTTTTTTTACATTAAAACTGCATTCAACTGGCTCTCCATGGTTACAAACATTTTCTTTAAATTCAGATATTCATCTGCAGTATTATATTTAACACATTATTCTATTTAATGCACAGCTCCATGGTCAGTTTATGTACTGCTAAACACCTCCATGGTCACTTTGCACATGTGCACTTTTGAGCTTTGACTAAGCCAAAATCTCTCCGACCATACTTTCGACTCTGTGTTAAGGTGTACACAATTCGTTTTCGGTATTTGTTTGTTTTTGTTTTTTGGTTTTTGTCCAGGCTAATTTAAATTGTTGCTGCCTGCAGCTGGCTGCTGGCTGCTGTCTTACGGTACATTTTAGTCTTTAAGTCTAGGGTGTTGTGTGTTAGTGGCTTAAATGTAATGCAAATTAACTTAATTGAAAATTAATGTAAATATTTATGCATACATCCAGTTGCTTCAACTTGATTCTACGCCAGCTTAAAGACAAAATCAAGAAAATAGAGAAAAATTGACTTTAATTTTCGGTAGCCAACTCGTGCCTCGATAACGTGAGCGCCCCTCCCACCACCAATCCCCCCTCCCCCTCCCCCACTCGCAAGACAGATGCGCTTTTAAATGCTGCCACTTTAAATATTCGATAACAGCAGCGGGCTGATCAAATGAATAAAAAAAAAATATATACAAAGAAAAACGAAACGAAACAAAAACTAAATAATACTAATTTATAAATAAATAAAACAAAATTCCAAATGATCGGCGCTTTGTTTCTAACGGCTGTTTGTTAGTTAGTTGAGTTTTGTTTTATTTTTAGTTTGTTGTTGTTGCTTTTGGCCTAATGAGCCGGTGCAGATGTGTAAATTTAATTCATTTGCATTCGAGTCGAGCGTGTAGCGAGACACATTTAGATATCGTACAGACTCTGATTGCCCCATCCCTCGGACACTGGCTCTGCTCCCATGCCGCCTGCCGCATGCCGCCTGCCGCCTGCCGCATGCCGCCTGCCGCATGCCACATGCATTATTGATGATGACTCAGATACACGCACTCAAGAGCTGCGGCTCCATTTGTATTGCTGTCGGCTGTTGACGGTTGGACGTAGGGCTTTGGGATTACTATTTTTTATTTTTCAACAGTTTTATTAACAACTTCACTTAATATACCCTGTACCTATTGAAAATGCCAAAAAGGGTATAATGACTTTGTGCAAATATATGTAACAGAAAGCAGGAAGCGTCCTCGATTCCATAAAGTAACATATATACATATATATATGTTGATTAGCATCAATAGCCGAATCGATCTAGCCATGTCCGTCCCTCTGTCCGTCCGTTTATAAGAGTGCGTCGATCTCAGAGCCTTCGCACTAGAGACTTGTAATTTTGAACGTCCTCCTCCCACTGCCCGAACAGTACGAGTTTTTTTTTCTGCCCGTACTATAAGTTGAAATAGTCGCTTTTCTTAAGCTTAACCTTGGAAACGCATTTTTCATCCAAAAAACACACACATAAAAACATCTTTATATCCTCTATTAAATAATATCTGATGCTGCATAGTCACTTCCGTTTTCTTTTCTCAATTTCGAGCTCTTGCCAGGATTTCTTGCCAACTAATCGCAACCCAATATTTATTGAAGCTACTCTTATTTTTTTTTTTATTAATTCCTACTCTATTCCTATGGCATTTCTTTAAGTATTATAATATTTCTTAGTTATCTATATATAATTTCCCATTAAATAGTTGCAGGCATAGTTTTTCATCTTCCATTAACTTTTTAACAAAACCCAAATGTAGAATTCTTATACAATTATCTAAATATCTAATGCTGTATAAGCTAACTATTTACACTTTTCGCTTTGTTCTTATGTAACACACACACACGCACACACATACACACATACACACAAATTTACAACATTATGCTTTGTTGTACATAAGCTAACTTCCGAACGCCCTTACCGCTCAACCGCTTCTTTCCGTTTCCCTTTTGTCCATCTTTTGTGCTAACAGCTTCATTTACCAAACAAATGACTTAAGACACAAACTAGCTGCAATTGACCCCCAAAGCAGCACTTAACGGTAACTCGCTGTCAGTGTCTGTCTCAGAGTGTGTGTGACCTTCAGCAAACAAAATTCACTTATTTTTCAAAGCAGCAACAACAATGTTCACACACAAAACACACACAGCGCACATACGTACGCACAACTCGAACTCTGAAGTGCTGCCAAGTGCGTTTGTCCATTTACATAATTGTCGCACGGACTGTTTGCTGCGGCCGCTTGATGTCTGTGCCATTAGCTAACTGCAGCCACTGTTGTTGCCACAACAAAAACAACAACAACAACAATTCAATTTGCTTTGCCTGTTGTTGTTGTTGCTGCTCTTCAAAATGTAATTAACCTCAAGCTGGAGCGTTTTTTGTTTCGACCTTTTTTTGCGTCATTTTAAGAACTGCGACGACGACTTCGAGTAATTAAGCAAAGCTAAAAGTTCATGTTAATTGTCCAGCACGACAAAGCTTCAACAGGTACACACACACACACACACGCACAACAATTATGCCCCGCAAAGGTCAAAGACTAAAAGAATTGTCAAGCGTGGACAGGCCAGGGCTGATATGGGTACGGGGCAAGGCGACCAGCCACTGCGCATAGAGTGCTCTTTGAGTGCTCACCGAGGGGTCCATACACGGCGGTGGGGGAGGGAAGCAGCGGGGCTGACTCTGAAGTTGAGTCATTGAAGCGGCCGCTTTTGTTGGGTTCTGTCGCACGGCGGAAGCAACGAACGACAACTTTTTTTTCGTAGCCTTTTTGTTTTTTTTTGGTGTGTGCTTGTCTTTTGCTTTCCCACTCTCTCGCTGTCTCTTTTCAGCGCACATTTGTTTTTTATTATTATTTTAGCAAAATGCCGTTAGTTTTGTGCGAACACACGGTGTGAATGATACTTTAATTACATGAACGCAACAACAATAACAACAGCAAAAAAAAAAAAAGAACGAAACAACAATAAAAGAACTTGAATTATAATGAAAATTAAACAAGCAAACATTTTGGCTAAAGCAAGGCACAATGTTCACGAGAGAGAGAGAGAAAGAGTGAGAGAGAGAGAGAGAGAGAGAGAGAGAGAGAGAGGGAGAGAGAGGGAGAAAGAGGGAGAAAGAGAGAGAGAAAGGGGGGAGCAAGCGAGACAGAGTTCTGGGCGGGTACGTAGTTAGATCCTGAACGATAAGTTGCGACTTTTACAATCTGACAGATTCTTCCCAAGAAAACACAAACCATATCAAAGATCAAAGCATAAGAAACAGCAACAACAATATTTAAGCTAAGCAACTGATAGCACAGACAATTCTATAAGATCTTAAAGTCTTAGTCTTGGCATAGGAAGTGAAAAGTGCTCTTAAAGGCGCAAGATTCATTAATTAAGCTGATATAACTTGTGCAGAATCAGTAAGAAACAGTCTGGCAACCATGAAAGTGAATTCACTTGAGCCTAAAAGCTGTACAAAATTAAACAAATGGCCTGTAATGATATTAATCGTTGATGTTAATAAGCATACTTATTACTGTGTAAGCAACATATGTAAGGTGGCAACGCCACGTCGTTAGGTTAACAACTCTAACCAAGAGAGTTTATGATGAATATTAATAGCAAAGCTTTTATTAACTGTGAGCGATCTGGCAACTTTTATATGTGATAGCTGATTAAGATTTAAAAATCTTCGAACAGTCGGGCAACCCTAAACGGAAATTCACTTGATTCGAAATGCTTTAACAAAACAAATAAATGGTCTACATTAAGGTAAATAATCAACAATTTACTGAACTAGACAACATACATATGTACTTATTATAACGCCTAATTTAGTTGTGAATAGTCTGGCAACACTCAAGTTTAATAAACTTTTTCCGAGCGAATGTAAAATTATTAGAAAACTATCTGGCATCCATTAATGGCAAACTTAACAGTGAAAAGTTAGAAATTCTTATCAATCATATGCCTGCCCATAATTTATTTCTTTGTAACAGTCTGGCAAGGTTGAAATGCATTATTGCAAAGAGTCGAACAGTTTACTAGAGATTTTAGAATGTTTTAATATTCGATTTTTATAAATAACTTCAAATCGTAAGTCTGGCAGCCACCAATAAGCCCGCTTGTCCATTGGCGACTGTATGCATTACAATCGCTTGGTTCATAGAGTTGAATCAACTGTTTGTATATTGTGATGTAGCTGCGGTCGTCTCTCGCCATCGTAGAACTTGAGTCCGGCAAAGTGCTCGATGTCGCGGATATTGGACATGAATGCGCTCAGCTCCAGATTGTTTTCGACCTCGGTATTGGGCACAACATAGCCCTCCATATAGGGCAGATCTTCGTGTTCCTTGCACTCGGCAATGATAACCTTGAAGAAATGCGTGGGCACCGCCACCGTGTTCATGCCAATTACCTGATGTCGAATCGCCCAGTTACGGAATGTGATGCGCTGCGGCATGAACAGCGGTCCCGTGTAAACGTACACCGAACCGCATTTGATTGCCAATTCGCGGACATAGGCTTCGAGGCGTGTCCATACCCTTGATTTGAGGCCACGACTGACGGGCGCTATGTTTGGCATTATGAATGTTTCGCAATACTTGAGCGGATCGCAGCGATAGTTGTGCGGCGACGCCATATGACCGCCCACCCAATCTGTGTTACGGTAATCCCGTTGATTTGCACGGAATATGAGCGGTATGCTTGAATCCACCAAATACTCAGCGGGCTTCTGCACAATTGTCGATTCCGTGCCGATCAAACAATCACTCTCCAAATGCTCGCATACCCAGTGCGCAATCCGATTGCGTCTATCATAAGATAGTACAAAATTACGATAGACATGTATATCGTCCAGGCCGGGAAAGCCGTACTTCATCAGCGTTGCCACATGGGCCGGCTCCGGCTCCGGCAGCGGTTCAACGCCCAATGAGAAGGTGAAGAACATGGTCTAAAATGGGTTATTTTCTGAGACTTATTGCAACTGAAACTGAAAGGGCCTGGGAATTGTGTGTAATTTTAGATTTAACTATAAACCTTAAGCTTTGATCTATGCGAACTTGTTTTTCGATAGAAAGTACCAATTTGATTTGGTTACTTTAATCAAGCTGCTGCCCTATTTTATTTATATAATTATTTTAATTTTTTTTTTTAAGCTTAAACCTTGGCCGAGTCCATAATTATGCTCTCAACCCTCAAAACAGTTTGTTAAATTGTTGCTTGCATGCGACTAACTACTGTGTATTTCGCAGAGCTGGGCTTTAAACAATCCGATTTAAATGATGTTCAAGTATAAACTTATAGTACTTAGACCACGAGAGCCCATTGACAATGCCTAAAAAGGGTTGAATGCCTTTGGAGATACAGCAGCAGGCTTCTCAAATGCCCATTTTTGGCTTAGCATCAACAGGCATGTTGATCTAGCTCAGCTCCGATCTTGGAGAGCAGAGCAAAATACTCAAGTCCCGTTTGCATAAAATCGATAAGTTATCGTTATCGAAATTTTGTATTTTGAGCATATTGCGAAGCTAGAGCCTTGAGGCTTGAGGCTAGAGCCAGCAAACTTGGTCTGCAGACTCTCGTATGCCGAACATTAAACTTTTTGATGTCTTTTCACGATATAGAATGTTGCATATAACGCATTTTGGGTGATATTTATCTACTCTATAGTCGGATTAATGGAAAACATCTCATCTGCTTGTAAAGTAAACTGAACTTTATCCAAATGCTGTCAGCTCTCTTCTCTATTCCTAAAGTATTCAACTTCCTATATATATATATATATATATATATTCTTTTGAAAATGTGTTGTTAAAAAGTTCTGGAGCTTTCTAGTCCTGTTAAAAGCTTACCACAGTGTGCATGTTTGATTGAAACCATTTCACATAGTTGGCAAAAACGGAATCCGTGTCCTCAAGTTCCGGTGGCGGACTCGTGTGATCACCGCCCGGATTGTCGTTATCCTCGCTACGCAGCTCGCGCCCATGTTCGCCAGAATCGTTGTAAAATGATTGACGCGGCTGCACCACCAGTCTCAACTAATATATATGTATATATATGCATATATATATATATATTGATATATATGTATATATCGATTTGATTGGCTTGAGAAAGGTGCGACTCACCGCCTCGTAGATCTGCTGGCGACGTTGAAAGATATATGGATCGCTGGCCATAGTCGTTTGTAGGTTCCGATAGGATGCATCCTGTTGAATTAGTGCGCCCACAACAAAGCCCAATAAACCTGTGATAACGGCCAAAGATAAGGGCAGTGTTAAGGGCACCATTACCATCTATCACAACAATATCTACATATAGAATGTAGATATATTACGAATACTGTCAATTGGCTCAGTGCCACACGCTGCTGGTACGCTTCTGACGCTAAAATTTTGAACTACTCTCTGAAACGGTCCGGTCGAACGCCCCCAGCAATTACATAGTTTTTATCAATTTCGACATTTTTGTACGCCTAACTGAAGGCTAAAACAAATGTTTGATATAAATAACTTAAAATACTTAAGTATATAATCTGTGTTCCTATGGAACTCGATAGCTGCATAAGCTACAATTGGCAAAATTCGTGTGTGAGTTTTGCCAAACGTTATTAACTTAAATATTATTTCAAGTTTTAAGCAAACACTTTCATTGGCTCAACAACTCGTAGGGATTGATTGCTAAATGTCGGGAATTTTTGCTAATAACACGTTTTTTTTTTAGTTTTGTTATGCGTTTTGAGTTCTGATTATGCACTGACTCGAAAGACTTTACGTGCGCTTAACAACAAATCACCGCCCCTTTGGCCAAGTCAAAGGCATTGGCAGCGGAGCCTTCCCCATTGACCCTCACCCAAATTGGCAGAGCCACAGCCCTGGCACGCAAGCTCTAATAAAACATTAACTATCGCAGCCGACGATGAACTAGCTGGCCATTTACTCATACTAATGCATATGTATATAGATGTACATACATTTATTAATATGCGGCTGCAACAAATATAACTACTACAACAACAACAACAACAACAACAATCGCCATCAGCCATGAGAAGCACGAGAATTTCGCATAAATTTACTTGGGGTCTGTGCAAAGAGAGCTAACTCGAATTCGAGCGGCAAAAAAAAAAAGTTAACTCGCGCCGCGCACTTGAGCAGCAAGTGCGATATAAAGTTAATGTGCTCAGCGTTAGGAACTTTAAAATACCATAAATACACTATCTGGCAGTCGAATCGTACAGAATTTCTATGAATTTTGTAGCTTGAGCTCTTCTTAAGGCTTGAGCTCTTGTTAAGGTCATTTAAAAATTGTGCGTAATGTGGCAGCGCTGCGGCTTTAAGTTCACAATTTTAACTCAAAAAGTTTGTTATGAATATTGTTAGCAAAGCCCTATTCTTGAGCTCGCTTAAGGTCCTGTTAAAATGGTGTATAAGGTGGCAACGCTGCGTCGTTTTGCTCACAATTTGAAGGCAGATAGCTTGCTATGAATATTATTTGCAAAGCTTTTACTAAGTGTAAGCGATCTGGCAATATTCAGATGAGACTCACAAACAGTTGACAGGAGGTAAAATATATATAAAATGTCTGGCAGCCCTAAAGGCAAATACACTACGGCAATTTTATCTTCAGTGAAGTGTTTTACACTTGGAAAAATATCTTTAAATCTCTACAAAGCAGTCAAATTTTAGCTATATTCTGTTTAGTGTTGCCATATTAGCAATGCAGTGTCAGGTGGCAACACTGAAATTATCTATTATAGCTTTAAAGTTGATAGATATGTAATAAAAAACTCGGAGCGCTAACTCGCACAATTGTCAATCTCAAATGAAGCTGTCGTAGACGAGCTGTTTTCGCTTAGGTGTTGCCATATGTCGATGCAGAACTAGGTGGCAGCGCTGCCGTGATAGCTTAATCTTTAAACGAGAAATTAATGCCCGGAACAATTTAGTCAAGAAATAAAACAATTTAATATGAAATAGAAATATGTTTGGAGTCGGCTCTGACGTGAAGTTAAAGGAATAAGTCAAAGGATTGGGAAGAGAACTGAAGGCTTGCAATTTTTTGGGGTAATTTGATAAACTTTAGCAGCACTTGGCAGTTAAATTGAAATTGAAAGAGTATTAATACATTGCTCAGAGGAATCATGGAAATTTGTTTGCTGCGTGATTTTGTGAGAATAGCCACAAATGTGGTTAGCCACAGCGGAATTAGGCGGAAGCAGCAACCGCAGTCAGTGACAAAATAAATAAAAAGCGAACCCACAAAAAATAAGCTGAAGAGTTTATAAAACGCGAACAAAGCCGCTGAGCAAAGCGCTTGTAAGCAAACCGAACCAAACCAGCTGTAAGCAGTCATCAAAGCATTTTGTGACGTTTTATTGTTTCCGATAAAGAAACAAACTTATGAACTATGATGCGAACTGATGGCACGTTCACAAATCGAAAGAATAAAAACCCAATATTTATATATGTATATAACGAGGTAGGCTGCCCCCCTTCCCCGTTCGCTGACAAGTCATAAAATAGCTGACAACAAGTGGCAAAACTCATTTGACTTCCGAACTTTCAAACATAGTATTCAGTTTTTGACCCAGCCGCTAGCCCACACCCTGTATTCCGTTTTTATAATGAGTTAAGGCTACAAATTATGTGCATGCCGCACAAGCTTAGCCCCAGCTGCAGCGATCAATTGAATTGGGCATCGGAACTTGTGAAAAGATTCTAAAGAACAAACATAAAAAAAAAAGAGAACAGAAGATACAAAAATGTGCCCACGCCCAAGTTCCGAATTGCATATTGCGTAGGCTACAGCATTTTGTGAATTGGATTGGATCTAAATTATCACGCCCAAGGATTGAATATGGCCGAGATTAATGCCCAGCTACTTGGGTGGCACCTGGTGTGCCGCCAGTGGGCCGTAAGCTGGAAGAGCTCTAAACGCTGCTTTGTTCAATTGAACAAACGCCTCCACAAAGCTCAAATGAGCTGAACAATTGGCTTACGAAAGCTACCAAGCAGCTGATTAGCGTATGAATAGTTGTAATGTAGTTAAGTGTGCTTCACACAAAATTCACCCGGATAGATTTTCCTATGAGCTCTCTACTCAATCCAGTCTAAGTCGAAGCACAGTGTATTGTTCAAACGAATGCCGGCTTGAACTAGTCGTGAATTATAAGCAATTGTTGAGTGGATTTAGTGGTTCGCAGTGCATAATAAAGATACTTTATTGGACGGTATTTAGGGTTTAATACTTATTGTCAAATTAAATGAAACAAGTCTGATTCCAGGAAGAGAGTCTGTAGGCTATACTGAAACAGGAGTTGGTGTGCTTAATGTAGCCTGACATATGTATATTGTGTTGGGAGAAAAAACAAAAATGTGTTCAACCGTTTTCTTTTTGTCATCAAAGTTGGCATTGCAGGCAGGAAAATTCGCTCAGCTGCCAAAACCCACAACTTAATTCAGTACACACAACGTACCCAAACAGTAAACACCATTTTGATAGCACACTCACTTCAAAAATAGATTATTTATATATATATAATTATATCTTTGTGGGGTAAGTACGGAAGAGATAATAAAATGGATAGTAAAAGATATTCCTGCTTAGGAAGTGTACAAAAGTAGACATGAAATTGCGCAGCGGCCGAGAAATCAACAAGGGGCCGAGTCGTGATTCTGGCAACGCTGCTAATGACGGCAACCCTGGCGGCAGTGGCAACGCTGGCGGCAGCAACGCTGCGCCCAGTTGTTCGAATTTTGTTGTGAATAACCAAATGATCAAAAGGCGGCCAATTCGTCGCATCACTCACATTGGCCCACAGCAAATGGCCCTGATAACTGAGCGTCTGCTGAATGGCGTGCCGGCTGATGGTCTATCAGCTGCCGAGAGCCTGCTACAGGATCGCAATTCAAATCTAAATTCGAATCCAAATACGGATTCGGAAATGGGCATGGTTCAGGCGTTGCCAACCCAGTTGGCCCCAAGGACCAGAAGGCAGGCTAGAAACAGGGCTAACAGGAATCTTGCTGCCGGCCAGCCAATTGACAGCGTGACTGAGATACGGAGCGACTCCAGTAGCCGCTCGGCCGAGACCCTCCAGCCAGCAGCAGCAGCAGCAGCAGCGACTGTTGCTGTGCCAAGAAAGAAACGTGGAGCACGTCGCAATCAGAAACCGAAGCGTTTGCCCACCACAAGGCAGAGCATGCGTTTCATCAAGCACTTTTTAGCGCAGTGCGAAAAGAATCCGACTTGCAATCGCCAGCACCTGGCCGAGATTGTCAATATCGTTATCCGATGGCCCCCGCTCAAGGCCCCAGCTCAGCCGGATAATGCTGAGAATGCGCCGGGTGAGTGCCAACAATTTGCTCCGTGTTCGCATCAACTAATTGCGCCGCAATTCCAGAGGATGTTCATGATGAAAATTCGGATGATGTGACAGATCCACCAACTCCACCCAACACTCCATCCGACTCTCAAGATTCATAGCTGCAAAATTATAAAGTTATATATATATATATATATGTATTGTGTATATATTTATATAATATCCCTCACCGTTAAATAGTTTTTAATTTCTCCAATAATTGCTTGTGTGTGTGTGTGTTTTGTCAAAAGTCAAGCGGAAACCGTTTCCAATAAATAGTGTGTAGACGAGAGTCAATCCATTAGAAGATGATCATCGAGAAGCTACATGGTCTAAAAGAAGGGCAATGATAGGACGGACGAACATTTCATATATATAATATATCTGGGGTATACATATATATATCTAGAAATAAAGAAATTTTCGTACTTAGTGTGAAGCAAGAGAACTACTATCGATTTGTATATCGCTGTGCCTCTCGATATATGTATAATCGAATCCGATCTAACAAAGTCCGTCTGTTTAAGTTGTTTTTGATTTTGCTTTTAATAAGCCCCGGACCTAAACAAATATTTATATTTAATTTACAGCTTACCTCAAAATTATAGAGAATCATAATTAGTTTTTGTGTGTAGATTATCCTCTTGCAGGGCCCTTTCCTTCTGTTGGATTAAGAATTGATTTGAAAGCTTATGCTTTGTTAGGCTTCAAAATTGGCTTGCCCATTTATTTGCCACACATACACATGCCATATGTGGCAGCAACTGAAAGAAATGCAAAAAATTTCATAATTGTTGCTGCTGTTGTTGCTGTGGCAGGCGGCCTGGCGGGCCAGCTGGAATTTGGAGTGTTTAGCATGGTAAATGTTGCGTTTATAAATTTAAAAACCTATAATAAAGTCATTTGCTCAGGCCATGTGCAACAGGCGGTTGCTGGTTGTTGTTGCTGCAGCTCAGAAAGCAGACGATGAGCAAAGACGACGTTGACGACAGGCAACAGACAGGCAACAGGCGAGCAGAACAAGCGGCAAGTGCAGCAGCAACTGGCAACTGCAGCAGCAACTGGCAACATCAGCAGCAGCAGCAGCAGCAGCATGTCGCGCTGATTATTGTGTTCAATTTTAATTTGTGCAACATTTTGTGGCCAAAATTGTTACTTCTTTTTTTGTTGCATGTGTTGCTGTTGACAATTGCCTGATCTGATAGTTGTTGCTGCTGCTGCGGCAGCAACTGTTGCTGCTGTTGACAATTGTATCTGCATCTGTATCGGCACAGAGCATTCGCTCTGATTGCCACTTTCTATTAACCGTTTGAACCATGTCAAGAACCAAATATCGAGTGCATTCGATAGTGTTCGCGAGTGCGATTTGAATAGCGATTTGAACGAATCCAGCTTTTGTTTTGCTTCAAGTTTTTAATCTTGTTTTAATTAAACGCTTATAACAATTTCACACATGGCGCAGCGCTTAACGAGCGACAACCCACACACAAAACCCAAAAACAATTTAATGAATGTTTAATGCAAAATACATTTAAGAAAAACACAATACAGTAATCAACAGAAAAATAATAATAATAACAATCATGCCATACCATATAATGATAATGCGAGTACATATAGCAAAGGCAGCTAGCTGCCTGCGCATTTTATTTAATTTTCGTATACACTTACAAAGGGTACTCGGTCTACGCTATGGGATATGTCAAAGGTTTTTTTATTAGTGTATATTCCTGATAAGTTGATCAGATCATAAACTGATGTCCAATCTAGGCTGCTGAAATTAATAGAATATAATATTTAATATTATAGTTAAATTAATCTCTGGTTAAGTTGATTAGAACATTATCTTGCCTGTTGCTGAAGAAAGTTATGTTGCCTAAGATCAGTTTAGCTAGGGTATTGATTGTGCGACACTCTGTAGAACTATTCTTCCATTCTTGCTTTTCTCTTGTTTCAATTGAGAACTGCGCTTGTGCCGGAGCACACATTCAGTTACAGATACATTTGGTCACATTCAGATACAATGAATGCGATTGGGATTCAGTTTCGGATTCAATTTCAGTTGTTTCTGTTGTTGGGTTTCTCACAATTAAGCAGACAATTTGTTGCCGCCATTAAACGAGCGCAGGCGAACAAGTAATCAAGGCGCAGACAAAACCAACAACAACAACAACAACAAATGCTCGAACAACGCGAACAACCCAAACAACCCGAACAACCTGGCATCGCAAATGCTTTGCACAGGCGTATCAAACAACAACGCAGCATATAGCATGGCTACAAACACACACACGCACACTTGTTTCTGCCACACACATACACTCAAACTCTCATATGTGGCGCCTTAAGCTCTGTGCTACCCTGTAGGCAAGGGTATATAGAGGGCATGTGCTGCCAGTCAGGCAGCTTCACAAAAAAGTTTTCATAAGTACATTTAACTTTTAAATCGTACGCAGTTTTTCATATAAGAGCCTCTTAACAATCGATAACAGATATCGATAACGATTTACTCAGAGCTTTTTGTCGATAACAATATGCAAAACACATCTGTCCATAAAAGTTACATATATTCAGATGTTTTATTAGCTAACAGTTAGAAATGTAATAATCAATAGCATAGATCGATAGATTTTGGCGTCTTACAAAGCCTACTTTTTTGAGCTTCCATTTTTAGTTTAATTGGAAAATATGTAACTTTCAATTGGAAACAATGGATCTATAAAGTGAATGCTGCTCCAAATAAATTCTCTAGCTATTCGTTAGATATGCTTTTCGTGACGCGTTTTATAATTGTATATTGCAATACATATTATTCTTGTCTCCTAGTCGAGGAGGCTTGAGGAGTCGATAATTGTTTTCGATTACATTTGGTAAGAACGTGTATCAAATACTTTGAACAGTTATTACCCAGAACTTTTACAAGCTGCTCGCTGTAATCAGTGAAAGATATCTTATTCATTTTTAATATTCTTGACTGTTTTTCTTTTTTCTTTCCAGTACGATCTACTCGCCTAACGGAACTCGGCGAATATAAGCACCAGAGTCAGCAAATTTGGTATGTAGCTTCTTATTTACAACACCTAACTAAAATTAAAGTTAAGTTCGGGATATGCCCTCTAAAGATGCGTGGACATCAATGAATATCATTTTCGTAATGTCATATATGACAGACGGATGTCTGCTGGGAGTTCTTATTGTACTTATTTTCCTTATTCCTTTGCTCTCAGCTTGCTTTATAGAGTATCTTTAAGTCGAAATGATTTGATTCGATTCGATTCGATTTGAATGTCCCTCCTCGGGCCCCGTCTCAATTGCCAACGGAGATACCCCGTCCCGTCATCGTCTAAATTTGATGCCGAGTGCTTTTTAATTGTCAGCCGCAAGTGCTTTTCGAATGTGCGAACTTAATAAATCTTTTTCAATATTATTTGTACCGTTTTTCCATTTGCTGACGGTTTTGTGTTTTAGATTTCGTGTGTCGGTAGATAGATGCCGTGTGCTCTGCGCTTTTTGCCCCGTAATTGAACCGAGTCAAGTGACAAGACAAGACAACTTGAGCAGCTTTTAGATATGCATATCGATTGCTTGAAACAATCAATTTGTTGTATTTATTTCAGTTTCTTTTTGTTGCTTTACGCCCTTGGCAATCAATTTACTACAGTTGAGCAGGTGGGCAGGCTGGGAACAGGTGACCAGACTCTAACAGATCTCCGAATAAATTCCTCTAAAGCTTAACTCAATGCATTAACAGAAATTCAATTGCGGTTTCGGTGATTTCTATCATTTTGAGCAAAGAATTTGATTTTGACATTCAGATTCGAGTTTTTGCGCTTTTCGATCGACAACTAACAGGGTATAAATAGGGTAAACATGTTCTTATATACATAGTTTATTTAAGAGGACATTACTCAATTCTGAATATGTAGATGGTAAATACACATATATAACATATATTAATTACATTAAGCTACTTTTCTGGATACATATGGAACCTCCCTCAGATGAGAAAGAAACACTTTAAAATTTATCAATATTCAAGAATTTTATAGGTGATGACCTTTACGCATTCTGAAAACTTACACATTACACACTTGATATAAATAATTTTTTCTACATTTATATAACTTTGAAGTGACATAATCTTGATATTTTGCGCAACATTTTTGTTGTCAAAACTAGCAGAAAAATCGAAAAAACTATCTGAAATGTTTTTCGCCTCTATTTTGACATTAAGGCTTTAATTAGCCGTCGCTTTAGATATAAGACACTACATTGGTTATCTTATTCAGCTAAACAATTCATATTGTGGAAATGTTCTATGTGAACTGAGTTTTGAATGATTCAATTTGGTCTACATATTCATATAAGTTATCAGGTAGAGCATGTGTATGGAAACCAATTGGATCGCATCATAATACCAACAATCGATATTAAGTTATTGTAGAAACAATTGATTTTAACACTGGCTTGGGGTATTTTAAGCTATAAAAACTATATTCATTCTTGATCAACCGACGAATTGATGGATTGTTGAAGCCCATCTTTAGCATATATGTCGGAGCTAGTCTCATCAGACTACTTTATCATAGGATATACCTTGATAGATAGATTCGATTGCTTCACTATTCTGTTCATATATCTGCAAAAGTCTATATATTATATGGCTCCTATGGAAACTATCAGTCGACTAGACATTGCATGTAAAAGTTCTGTAAACAATTTCTTCTCAGCGTAGCAAAAATCAATTTCATTCATATTGGCCTCATCAACATCGAACTTTATATATATAGCTGCCATAGGCAGAAGCATTTGTATTTTCAATTTGTTCACGATTTTTTGCAACTCGATCTAAATTCTAAAGCTGTCATATGTGTTAAAACGCTTGACGTCTGAGTTTCTGTTGTTGGTTAAGATAATTTCACAAATAAATTAAACAACTTTATTGAGTGTGGATTTTGGTTGGTTGTGAGTTGTGTGAGTGGTATTCATGCGGCATTTGAATGCTGAATCATTTACGGCCAACTCTGGCTGACAGAACTTGTCTTGACTTGTGGCACAGCGACAGCGGCAGAGGCAGCGGCAGAGGCAGCGGCAGAGGCAGATGCAGCCGCTAATAAGCAGCAGGCAAAACAGCTGCAGCTCAACAGTTGACCATTTGGCCAAGTTGCGAGCTGGCCAGTTGCGTGAATATGGCATGCCAGTAATACCAGTTGCGGCATCCAAACGACAAATACCAATACCCTTTCAATAACAGCCAAACTCCGCTCCGCCCCCCCTCCGCCCCTCGGTTAT